CCTAATAAGACCTCTAAGATGGATAATTATGAAATAGTGTTTGTTTTAAAGCTATACAAAAGTGTAGGATTTGATAATATTAGTAGTAATGTAATTAAAAAATTAATAAAATACTTAACAATCCCTCTTTTACAAATTTTTAATCTCTCTTTAAAACTATGTATTTATCCGGAGAAACTTAAAATTGCGAGGGTTACATCCATTTTCAAATCAGGAGACATTTCTAATTTTAAAATTACAGACCAAATTCAATTCTCCTTTGCTTCTCTAGAATCTTAGAGCAAATTATGTATAATCAAATTTTGGCTTTTCTAAATATAAATAATATTATTTTTAATAAAAAAGTTGGATTTCAGCCAAGGTATTCAATCATACTGAAATCCAAATTTAGCTTTGCCATTAATAATATTGTCCACGATGTATTCAAAGCATTTGACGAAAGTTTACCCTCGGAGTTTTTATAAATTTTAGCAAAGCCTTTTATCCAGTAGACCATAGCATTATTATAAAAAAACTCAAAGGTTATGGTATTAAAAGCACATATTTAGAATGGCTCAAAAGTTATCTAAACAAATGAAAACAGTACATATCACATGAAGAAGGAAAACCTGATTACATGACTATAACTTGCTGTGTTCCTCAAGACTCAATTCTGGGTCCACTTTAATTTCTTATTTATGTAAACGATTTCCATAAATTTTCAAACATTTTAAACTCGGTTTTAATTGCAGATGACACGAGTTAATTTTATTCTAATGGAAATATCAAACTTTTATTTAAAATAGTAAACGAGAAATTTTTATATCTAGCGGAATGGTTTAGGGCAAACAAATTGTCCTTAAATTTAAACAAAACTAAGTATACTTTTTTTCATAGACTTCACGATAAAGAAAATATTCCATTAAAACTTCCTAATTTTGGCAACTCTAAAATAATTTCTTAATTAAAGTTTTTTTTTATTCATTAAAGTTTTCAGCAGCGATACTTGACTCTGACTAAATTTTTTATTGCCATTAGAGGTCCAAAATTATTGAACACTTTATTAAATAACGAGCTGACAAATTGTTCTTCTCTTTTTCTATTCAAACAAAACTCAAACAAAAGTTGGAGAGATTAGCTTAAAATAAATTTTAGGTGAAAACATTTTTTTGATTATATTGCTAAAAACTTTAAGTAAAAGTGTTTAAAAGAAAGTCTATGATAAAAAGCGCAAAAGACTCCAGTTTCACTTTTTTACCATAAGTGGATTTACATTGATTATGCCTATGACAGTGGATGAATTTAAAAACTTTTTATTAGTAAAACAAAAAATACAAAAAAGATATATACTTTTTTTTCTATAGAGTATTATGAAAAAAACTCCTATTGAAATAAAATGGAAGCGGGCTTTGAATCCGCAATTTTGCGAACTAAAATTACTGTATAATTGTATAATGTAAATACACGTGGTTTAATGCAATGTTCCATTACTCGACTTCTCTTTACATTAAATACAAAAAATGCAAGTGGTTGTTGAAGAAGAAATAGTCAGAGTGTAGTAGGCAACAAATAACAGCAAATTATTTTAGTTATTTGCTATTTGTTATGGCTCAAGAAGTCAGATTTAGAGTCAATTTTCGGTAATTCTGTTCAAGATTTTTGACACTGCAAAATCATTCCATGTCATAATTTGTCTCCGAAAACTTTTATAGTTATTTCTGAGATTTCTTTAACAGTGCCTGAGAATGCCATGGAATACCTCTTAGGTATTCCATGGCATTTTATTCTAAGACATCAACTTAAGACATCAACTAAAGACATCAACTTAAGACATCAACTTAAGACATCAACTTAAGACATCAACTTAAAACATCAACTTAAGACATCAACTTAAGACATCAACTTAAGACATCAACTTAGGACATCAACTTAAGACATCAACTTAAGACATCAACTTAAGACATCAACGTGGAACTGGAAATAACTGAAATAACTAAATCTTTTGTATCAATATCTAGTGCAATGTTTATTTTACCTGTTGAAATAGCTATATCTGTTGAACGTCCAACATTTTCATCACCTCCAGTATGGAGAAATATTTTTTTAAATTTGGTTAATTTACATATAATAAACAGACCAATTATTGCAATGTTATCCCAAAACCTTTTTCTAATTTTCTAATTACTCCATTGTGTTGACCTTTGTTGTTTACTGCACTATCGCAAACAATGGCTTCTAAAGTGTCTGACGATTTGATGTTGTTGATGCTCAATAACATCTTTTGTGCAATACCAACAGCTTTACTATTTTTTGGCATGACATAATTGATACTTTTGTTTTTACTATCAGATAATGTTCTTCTATGAAATTTTGTCGGACGCCACTTGTTTTATCAGAAGTGATATCCCATCACATTCAATAAAAAGTACTTCTTGGTCTTTAGCAGCATGTTTTTTAATTTTTTTTTTCTCCACATATTTCTCTGACGACAAAGTTTTCTGGATCAATAGCATTCTTTGGTGTTAAAGATCTAAATCTATTGATAGTAGTAATTGTACGGCTTTTGAAACTAGGTATGCATCTCTGTTACCGATTTTACACCTATCTATTACCTTACACAACTCAGGATATTGTTAAGTATTGTAAAGCTTAATTTCTCTATCATTTGGTATCTCATTATCACTTAGCATAACTTCATAACTTGAAATCACATTACCATCTGACATCTCAATTTGCAAAAATTCTTCTTTGGACTTTAACTGTTCATTATCAATGCAATATGTTTCAGTTGGATCAATTTCTTAGATCTTTTTCTTGGATCAATTTCTTGGATCAATTTCTTCATCAAACTTCAATTTCTTATCTGTAATTGGTAACTTGCATGTTTTACTTCTTCTTTTTTCTCTCTTTTGCAGCTTAACTGTTTCTTTTTTGTTTACTTTTCCTTTTATCATTTTCCGTACTGTTTTTTGATCTATCCAGAATTCCAATTCAAGTGTTGGAGTTTTTTGGCAGTGAACATGAACAAGCTGACCTTTCTCGAACATCATTGTAAAAATACTTGCACATACAAATATCGAATAGTTGGTCTTGGATCTGTAAACTTGATTTAAATGTTGCATAGGACTTCTTGCCATCAGAGTATTTATGAAGATCATCTACTTTGTTAATTAGTCTCTTTATGCAAATAACTCACTTGCTGACTTCAATGATACTTTGTTACATAGAGCTTTAAATTCATTAGCTTTGTTTTTTGCTCTTTCAGTAACACTTGCGCAATTGTTATTTTTTAATAAATATTTATTTGCTTTGAAAACATCAGCAGAAGTTGATAGTTGATTTGTTTGGAATGGTCTAAGTTCGTAGTCTAAGAATATAATGTTCAGTTTCACTTATTTTATAGTAGCCATTTTTATTTTCAATTTTAACTAAACGAAAACAAAAAAACAAACAATGTAATTTAAACTTGATATATACAAGTAAATATCTTACTATGAAGCGCAGGATCATGTAAATGTTTCATGTGACAGGGTGGTTGTGAGATTAAATTTTTTTTTTTTTTATTAGGTAGTGTTACAAGTTTTTAGGACTATTTCATAAAAAAAAATTCTATTTGACCTACCCTAAAACTAGGGCCCTGAGAATTGGCATTTTTAATTTCGAATCGAATCTCGAATCGAATCAGAATAGGAGGAAATCCAAATTTAAGCATCTTTTTTCAAGAAAAAAAGTAAATTAAAAAAAAAAAATTCTGCCAGGAATAATTTTTTAGCGTTTGTTTAGAAGCAGTATTACAATTACTTTCGATTACAATTACTTTACAATTACTTTTTTCTGGCTGAGATAAATAAAAGTATTTTGATAGCATCTTAGCGTAGGATACCTGAAAAAACAACAACTTTCACAAAATAAATAGTGATTCGAAAAATTCAAATCGTTTTATTCAAATCGAATCTCGAATTGAAGCGACACATGATTCGCGAATTAAAGCAAATTGATTCGCAAGGCCTACCTAATACATATGTATATAAGGCCTACCTAATATATATGTATATGCATGTATATATATGTGTGTGTGTGTGTAAATACACACACATACACACACATACACACACATATATATATATATATATATATATATATATATATATATATATATATATATATATATATATATATATATATATATGCATTGCATTTTATCTTTTCAAATTGAATTTTATCTTTTCAAATTGAAATTTTTTATTTTATTTTAATTTCAAAGTTTTAGATAAAAGTTTTAGCCAATCATTGCTTTTAATTTACTCATTCAGTTAAACCTTCATGATAAAAAAAGTATTACTTTATACGCCACAAAAAACAAAATCTTTAATAATACAAATGAAACTTTGACGATTAAAAGTAATTGTCAAAAATTTATGTAAAAAATAAATATATATATAGGTCATTGACCGATTTGCTGGGAAAGAGCTGCCCAGCCAGTATTTGGTTCTAAAAAGACGTCTTATGAATGTTCAAAAGACGTACTAAAGGTTTTTTGAACGTTCAAAAGACGTCTTTTTAGGACCAAATGTCGGCTGGGTGGACTGTACTACTATTAAATACAAACTTGTTGATTTATGAGTCCATAATATTTAATGAAAAAAAAATTAAATAATATTTTCAATTTCATTGATAACATTTAATTAATTTTAAATCAAATCGAAAATAATTTTTAGTTGTGGCATATGATTACAAATTCATAATAAAATTAAATTAAAGTATCATAAATTATAATCATAAAAATTGTTCTCATCCTCCATACAACCAGATTGTCATGGGTTGTATGGGGAACAGGGGGATGGGGGAGTGGCATTTTTAAAATCTTGAGGGGCCCCAGAATTTGAAGTTACGCCACTGGTATATATGAGAAAAATTTGACGTCATGCGTTTTGACGTTTTAAACGAAAAAACGCGTATTTGTAAGTATCTTTTATATTTGTTAGTAATGGAGATTCGAAAAAAGTTTTATTTTCATATAGGAAATGCATTTCAAAACTTTTTACAAAAGTGCTCCATCATTAAAGAAATAATAGAAAAACTTGAATTGACTTGTTACAAGAGGTGCGGCGCAGGAATCATAATAGTAAGTCATTTCAAAAAATTATCCTACAAACTATCTTTTTTAAATAATACAAGAACAAAAAAAAACACAAAAACACAACAACAAAAAATTATAACTTTTTAAATACAAAAGTTTCTGTTTGATTAAATTATTAGCGTACCCAGAATTTTCAAATAAAAAAAAATCTTTTGAAACTTTTTTTTTTGACAAAACTTAACTAACCTTGAAAACAAGTCAAAAAAAAATTATTTGTTATTACTGTGATAACTTATGCCAATAATTTCTAAATTATAATTTTTTTTATTATTGTTTATTTTAAATTAATTAATAGAAATAAAAAGTCTATATTAAGGGCAGCATAAAATAAAAATTTCTAGACAAGAAAACATTGTGGAAGGGAATTTGCTATTTTTTCTTTCATCTCTGATTCTTTACTGGGTGCGCTAAAGTTTTGACTTTTATTTATACTATTTTTATAAACAGAAAAAATTTATTTAGGGAATACTTCCGATATTGCTGTTTTTTCTTCTTCTATTTTTGCTGTTGTTCTTTCTTGTTATTTTGTTACCAAGACTTTTAAGTTCGTTGACCATACTTTATCCGTTAATTATGTCCGTGAAAGCTGTTGAAGGAGATCTTAAAGATAAAAAGAAATGGCTTGTGTATTGGTTCATTTACAACACTATTTCTATTAGTGAGAAAATTTTTGGACTAATTCTAACTCTGATTCCAGGACATGATTTCATAAAGACACTTTTTCTAATGTGGTGCATGGTACCAATTAATAGCAACGGATGCTTTACAACATATTATCTTTTACAACCGCTATTATTAGGCGCTGTTCAACTAGTCGACAATTTTGTATCCTGCTTATCATCTTCATTTTGGTCAACCTTCAAATTAGTCGAACAACGCCTGCTTCCGCCGCCCGTAATTCAAGTGGCATACGTTGCTTCATTAGACATTATAAAAGAAAAGTAAACTATTGATAAAATCTACAAAATAAATAACTTAAGATTGATTTTTATTATAATAATACAAAAAGTTTTCCCACATTTATTCAAGAAACACTCGTGCCTTTGAAATATACAAACACGAGAGTCTTTAAGATAAGATCAACTAAGATAAGATAAATGTTTGCCCTGCTGCCGTTTTCACTTCTCTCCGATAAACCCTGAGACAAGATGGGGAGGGGGTGACGTACCTGTTTTTTGTTGACTAAAGCTTAGAAAAACATTTTTGCCGATTTAAAAATATATATAATAATAAACTTTAGATCCAATTTTGTTGATTCCAGTGTCCGATATGCCAACTGGTAAATTTCGTAGAGGGCTAGACACCCCCCATACACTCCCCCCCCCCTCGGGACGCCTCTTATTAAGGTATATTATATACTTTATCATGTTTATTTGATTTATCTTTCAATTATAAAAATATTATGTAAATTATTTATACGCTTATTAAACTTTAAAATAAATATTGATATGTGAAAAAATTATTTTACTAAATGACAACTTTAACTAATTATTTGCTACTTAAAATAAATTACATAAAAGAAACAATTTTGGTATTAAGTTTTCGAAATAGATAATCATACAGGATTGTAGCAAAAAATATTGATTGAATGGGAAATAAAGGTTTGTATATGGTCTAAGACAAAGTCGTGAGGAAGCTACATTAAACTTTCTTTGTTGAAACCATACTAAGCATAATTACTAAAAGTTTAGCCAAAGTCTTAACAAATTATATTAAATATTATTTAACAATTATTTTTAGATGCATTTTGACATATTGTGGATTTTATTTAGGGTTTTTAGAGAATATTAAAATATTCTAATTACAAAGTTGAAAAATATTTTTTGTATTTCTTTACTCCTATTAAAGTTTTAGCCTGGAATTTCTTTACTCCTAGTAAAGTTTTAGCCTGGAAAAGTTTTTAAAAACTTTAGCCCGGAAAAAGTTCATTTTAAAAGTTTACCTTTCTTTTAAGCAATATAATTTTTGAATAAATTGTTGTAAATTTCTTGACACAGTTCAAGGTACATAGTGACATTACGCATTTTGGTTTTAATATATAGTTTAAACACTAGAAGAAAAAACCTTCGTTTGCAAAGATTGAAGAAAAAAGTTATGAAAAAATAAAAGAGTTATACGAAAGTATGTAACCAATAAGAATGTGAATGCATAAACGAAAAATAACAAACGAATAAAGTATAAAGTGGATTCTGAGAGTTTTTTGTATTGTTGCGTGTTTTAATGAAATTTAAAAAATTACGAAGCGATCACTATTTAAAAAATTACTGACTGCGCTTGGCTAAATAAACACTATCATTGACTGTTGGTATCGCAACGATTAAATGCAATGAAAATAACAGCACAAAAACTAGTTAACGAAGCTAGCTCAGGTGGAGATTCAACTGAAAAAATTAACGGAGTGGTTAATTAACGGAGATTTAACGTTAGGATAAGAATACCATTTTTATACTTACGTTTTAAAACTGGCAGTTTACAAAATTAATTTTTAACGAACACTCAAATTCTCCATTAGTTCAACGGAAAAAAGGAAATGCTGCATTTATTGCAACGGAAAGAAGGAAATGCTGCATTTATTGCAACAGAAAGAAGGAAATACTGCATTTATTGCAACGGAAGGAAGCAAATGCTGCATTTATTGCATCGGAAAAAAGGAAATGCTGCATTTATTGCAACGGAAAGAAAGAAATGCTGCATTTAATTTTATCTTTCATTAAAGCAAAATCTTTCATTATGTGTCTTAAAGCAAAAAGGCAAACTAACTTAAAAGTTACTTAACTAACTTAAGAGTTAAAAACTAAGTATGTTTTATGTATTAAGAGACTGTTTACAAATTACGCGTTTTATAGACATTTTAAATTCCATTACTTCAACGCACTTTGTCTCAAAGAGGCACAAACTTAAAGCATATAGGGTTTACGTAAGTGACTTACCAATTAAGACACGCTGTTAATGGTATACCATTAACAATGTGTGGGAATTGGAGGTTAAACTAAATGAACCTTATGCACAGTAAGCCAACATGCTATGGTGAAACCATGCTATCGTGTGCCAAAAGTCGAAATTATTTCATATATGTAACATATTGATTCTCATAAAAACATAAGAATTGTTAATCAAAAAATGTGCCTTCAATAAAATTTTTAGTTTTAATTTATCACCCTGAACAATATTTTAGGTGGTTTAACGCTTTTCTAAAAAAGTTATAAGGAATTTTTTTTTTAAATGCGTAGCTATTTAATATAATATAAACTTATATGCACTCCCATTTAGTATTTGATATTTTTATATGCGTTCCGATTTAATATTAGATGATTTTACATGTGGGGTTATTTAATATTAGATATGAGAAATTATTTTGTAGTGTTAATTCATACATTGGCTTTAGTGTTAATTCATACATTGGCAATTTGCATTTTTGACAATTTTTTTGAACATATAAGAGTTATTTTATGATTAATTAAAGATTTTGTGTTTATTGGTCAAAAAATCTTTTTTTCCTGCTGCCGAGAGATAAAAACCGACCAATCCTATCAAATGCTTAGTAAGTCGTATTAGTTAAACTTACACGCTCGCGGAAAGTGTGGAGTTTTCCTCCATATCGGTGTGTAGCTATCTCTCCTAGACACAAGTGTGGAGCTATTTTGCACACTTTTGCGAAAATTAATTTTTTTTAACTCAACTTCTGCACAGAAGTGTGAAGCTATTTGCACAAAAAAGGGCAAAATAACTCCACACTTGTGTCTAGAAGTGATAGCTACACACCAGTGTAGAGGAAAACTCCACACTTTCCGCGAGTGTGTCCTAAGTTCCTAACGAGTACTCGCAAGTAACTCAGTTGTACAAGTAGGTTTTAATCGGAACTTAGTAGTAATACTCAAGTTTTTTGTTCGGCCATTAACCGTATTAGCACGTTTAGCAATAAGCATTTTTACTCGGCACTTGGTTGGATTAGCCGGCTTTAGTGAGAATTTAGTAGGAATTATTAGTATTATATTCAGAAACTGGATTTTAGTTAATAGTAGAACTTTATATTTTTATTTGGTGTTTAATTGTTTCTAGGAATAACTATTTGTAGGAATATTTTTTTCAAGAAATATGTTTTAAAGTAAAAATTTAAAAATAATTGTAAATTTTTGCTTAAGTACAGATAATTAAAAAAAAAATTTAACTACAATAGTAGTACATTATAGTGTAACTAATTTAACTTGTTGCCTAAGCACTAAAGAAGCTTATTTATAAAAATATTATAAAAATAACAAATATAGAAGTGTTAGCTTGTTTAACTTGAACATTTAAAAAGATACAATAAATAACTATGGTCAGTTATTTTTTAATTTTGAATGTGCCAATGGAAAAATTCCACCCATATTATTCAATTTATCTTCCTCTTTTATTTGACGATAACAGTAACTATAAAATTTACAAATATATTAATGTAATTTACAAATATATTTATGTATTTTACAAATATATTAATGTAATTTACAAATATATCAATGTAATTCGACAACTTAATAACCTACATTATTTTACAATAAAAAAGCTTATTCATCTTACCATAAATTTAGAATGGACTTATTTTGAAGACTTTTATCAAAAGCTTTTCATTGTATAGCTATAATAATCGTAACTTTTAAGGAAAAAATCTAAAAATTAAAAAAATATAAAAATATAAATAAATATCTTGAAAATATGAAAAATTATAGAAGTCGTACTGGTTTTTAACGAGTGTTGATTGGATTTCCTAAAATAAAAAGTATATATCATATTTAGAGGTGTATCGAATATGCCTGACTTCTATAACTGCATTTATGTTTATTTCATTTGCCTTCATCTTTTATTCAATCAAAACTCCATAATAAAATGTATAAAAACATTATTGCAATTCGATAACTTAATAAAATATATTTTACTTTAAAGTGTACCATTATAAACATCTTGTCGTCAATTTCTTGTCATTAAAACATAAGTTATTTGACAATATTGTAGCGTTGTAGATAAAACTTTGAACCTACAGAGAATTCAACATACTTTTCAATATGTTTATGCATTTGTGACAATTTTTGATAAGTATTTATTGAATTTCCTAAACAACAAAAGAATTCGTATTGTTGAAAAAAAACAAAAGCAAAATAATATATATATATATATATATATATATATATATATATATATATATATATATATATATATATATATATATATATATATATATATATATATATATATATATATATATATATATATATATATATATATATATATATTCATCAGAAAGTGACAAAAGTTACATAAAACCTTCTTAATTGACCATTTTATCATTCACTATAGTAATGGGAGATGTTGATTTACACTACCGTCTATAATTATTCGAATAGTTGTACTTTTCGAAATAAGATATCATAGTTTTATTTACTATTGGGAGAAAAACTATAAGCAAAGTCTACCTAAATTATATGTTATCTTCCTTTATATTAGGTTTACA